GGTACATTTAATAAAAGGCCAAGTGAGAATGGAATAAATATGAAACATATTTGTAGCTATTTTGGAAATGAAACCTGAGGGAAGGCATTTGATCGTTTTGACTGTTAGGACATAATTGGCCAAGTCCAATCCACCAGCCAGAATCAAACCATGGGGAATTTTTTGGAAATAACGTAAACAATGATTTCCCTTTTGTTTGCATTTCTTTGTCAATCTTCAAATAAATTTTTTCTTAGTGAATAAGAAATCATTTTCTGAGTGAAAATTTGTGAAAAAGGAAAAGGATGAAAATTAAACTAATTAATTGTTAATAAATTAAAATGAATAAAAACAATTAATCTTATCATTTCAAGTATTTGTGTTTTTTTTCTTAAAAAAATTTAAAATAATTTTATAATCAATAATTAAGATTTAAAAAAAAGGAAAAACAATATTATTACTTTCCATTACTATACTAATTAATATATATGTTAATTATTCCAGAAATTAAACCGCTTCTGTAAGCCAATGATTTTGTTCGATTGTTTGTATCGAAACTAGATGAGCATCTTTTCCAACTTGTCGGCAACTTTCTTCAGCTTGATGCCAAGTCATTCGGAATACAGTTAAAATCTTCAAGCAATACGTATATTTATTTGATCCGATTGATGCATACGGTACCCAACCATTATGACATGATAGCTTACCTCCTGTAATATTATGATAAAGATGATAATGTAATTAATAAATCATCATCATCAAATTTAAATATCACACAAATCTACCAACAAATATTATTACTAATTACTGATTAATTATATTTCCTTATCATATATTAGCTAATTTATTTTATGCCTTTTTTTTTCTTTTTGTTTTTTCCTCCTTCCATTATATTTAATTAATTTTTTTTTTTTTGCATATACTTCTACTATTTTATTTTTATATTTAAAAAAAAAAAGAAAAAAGAAATAATTATTAACTTTCTATTTGTAATTTCGCTTCGCCAATATTTTCCTCCGCACCATTTGCATTATTAATTACATTAAATGCTGATAATAAAAGCAGAAATAGCTGATACATATGGTTATAAGTGGTAATAAATAGTAGAAATTTTGTTTTACCAATTGTTAATGCTATAATGAAATGATATAATTAAATGAAATTAAATGATATCAACAAATTTATGCAAATGTAATCCAAACAAGATACTAAAGCATAAAATTTTCAAATTATCATTTTAAATTATACATATATTTTGTAAACATTGAAAAGATTTGTAAATTTTCTTAAGCTAAAGTAGTACACGATAATATCTTTAAATACTGAAAAGTTTTTTTTTTTATAAATTTGTTAATGCAAAATGATAACAACATCATCCTTAACAAAATGATAACATCAATGCTTTTAGAAGAATGAATAAATTTTCAACTCGACATTTTGTTCTATTCCTTACAGCGCCAATTTTGCATATCAGAAATGATCCGATCCACTTGAAATATATATTTCATTTAAGTAAGTGAGATAGCATATCTAATTGAATGTTTTGAAAATATGTTGATGATATTTTTTGTCCTAAAAACTCCTCTAAACTTGTAATTTCCTAATCGATAATTTATGTATTAATAAAATTTGAATTTCAAAAATCATTAAAAGTTATTTTCTAACTTCCCTCCTTTTCTGTGTTATCATTTTCCTCCAAATTTAATTCATACGTTAAAAATCTTGATTTAAAATATATTTTCAAATTAGCAGAATTTACAATTTTTATACTTTATGCTACAGAC